GCTATCGCTCGTAGATTTTTGCGATGTTTCGCTAAAATAACTCGCGCATTGCTGCATGCGTGTCTCATTTTAAATCGAGAAGGGAGGCATGCGAGTAATGGGTCAAACTCGCTGTTTTAAAAAACGAGCTTTTAAATTTATTCATGGCCGGCGTACACATTTTTCCCTACTCTATATTAGTAAAACAAAACTGTAAATGCGGTTCGCGTTATTACTGCTAAAGCGGGCTATTTCTGCGAGGTCACCCCGTAGTTCCCCAGCGTGACCGAAAGTTGTACTTGTGCGTATCGCCCGTTTGCGCACGTCACGCCGCAGATAACAATCGAGGCATGACGTAAACGGAAAGTTGCCTCCGTACTCACAGCCGACACTGGCTCGCCCTTCTCTCTGCCTCCACTGCTCCCGTTGCTTTACCCAGCTCTTTATTCACCATGGCCACCACCATTTTCTCTGCTCCTGCCTCCGCCCCGGCTTCCGCCACAGACCCCATCACAGTCTCTGCCACAACCTGTAACCTCCACCACAGTCGCTATCGCAGCCCCTGCCGCAGCCTCTGTAACTACCTCCACCACAACTTCCGCCGTAGCTTTGGCCACAACCTGCGCCTCAGCTTTTGCCTCAGTCTCCGCCATAGCCACCTCTACGGCTTCCTCCACAGCCGTCGTCACAGCTCCTGCTTCAGCCTCTGTCACCATCTCCGCTACAGCCTCTACCACAGCTTCCGTCATAGCTCCATCCAGTCTCCGCCACAGCCTTGTCTCAGCCCCCGGTCTCAGCCCCCGGTCTCAGCCCCCGGTCTCAGCCCCCGGTCTCAGCCCCCGGTCGGAGACTTAGTGGCTTTTCTCTACGCGGTATGGGGCGCTTTATTTGACAGCTGATAAACTATTAGTTTAACACACGGTAATATAAAAGCCTATTTCATTGGGGGTTCCAGAATAAATTTTCAGTCGAGTAAAATTCTAATACAGAAATGTTAGTGGAATTTAAGAATGCGCTGTATGAATAGAATTATTCACTACGCATTATTGGCAGTGTAAAATGGTGTATACCTTCAAAAAAAAAAGGTGCCAAAAGACGGAATGCTGACTGGTTGCGCTATTCTATTAAGGGCTATCGGCGCTTTCTTCGGATATTGGTTTTCGTGAACGATGAAAAACATACTAAGCTTTCCTGGACAATTAATCTTAGTAATGTGTTGTAGATTTCTATGGTGTGAAATAGTGCGTCGAATCTAGGCCAACGGCCGTGGAGCTGAGTCGAGGGTGAGGCAGGTCCTGTCGGATGAGCAGTGCGGGGAAGGGGCGGGGGGGGGGGGGAGGGCTGGCTTGGCCGCCTGGCGGGCGGTTTTCCCGCAACAGCCGCAATGTAAATGCTAGCACGCTCGAGAGGCAGCTTTGTGAGGAAGCAGAGCAACTTTACACGCTGCCCGGGGTCGGCCTGCCCCGTGTTCGC